ATGGTTAGGGCGTGTGCACGCTAAAAGTTCGATACCTGATTCCACAGAGATGAGTTTAGAACTAATAGAGTGGTTCGGTGGATGAGCGGGAGTATAGGTCGGCTAGAAGCCGTACCGGGATAGGTTCGTTCACGCTACGGTGAAGTTCTTACCTCATCCATTAGTAAAGAAAGCGAGTCATTGCGACTCTAAGAAAAGAAAGAAAGAAAGCGATTCATTGCGACTCTAAGAAAAGAAAGAAAGCAAGCGAGTCCTTGTGGCTCAAAGAGACCTCCACAGAAAAGTATTCTATTTTACAAACGAGTGTATGAGTATACTTATAGTATTGCACGAGATTGCATTGGTATATAGTATTGCACGAGATTGCATTTGAGTATACTATTGCAATAGATTGCATTTGAGAATGATTAACCGAGATTGTATATCGAGTATGATTGCTTTAGTGGCATTTTGATGTCTTATATATCTAGTTTGCATGATGAGAACTTGAAAGCATGAAGATATTTTCGTTTTGATTGTTGGCCCACAATTGATTGATAACATGAGTTCGTTATGATGAGATTTGTTATGAGAAATATGTGTTGGAGTATTTAGGTTGATGAGTTTTATATATTTGAAGCATGCCTGATGATATTATAGGTTGCAAGCATATAGAAAGTCTGTGATGTATCTTAAAGTTGTCTAAGTGTTGAGATTGCTTGATTAGAGTTTGTGATCAAATGTTTTTCCAAAGTATATATTGTAGTACTTTACAGGGTTAGGTGTGGTTATACTTATCTTCGTGCTAATGGGTGTTTTCCTACTTGTCTACGTGTTGTTTTGCAAAACCCCTTTCAGGTGGACCCAGCGTTTGAGAGATGATCGAGTTAGACTAGCTTAGTAGATCTAGTAGTCTAAACTCTTATTATTATTATGATGTTTATTTGATGGATTGTAGACTTATGATGTTTATGTTTGGTGATAGACACCGGAGTGTTTTTCCTCTTATGACTTTAAATTAAGTAATTTAAATGTTAGTTTGACTTAATGATTTAGTTTCATCCTTAGTCTGTGCAATCACCATGGAGAGGTGGTTGTGACAGTGACATTCCCACTAGTTTGTTATTTAAGATTGTTTATCCGCTGCTTAGTCTATCTTGTTTTTTATTTTAGAACTGTAATTAATTTTAAGAAAAGTGGGGTGTTACAGACCCGATCTCGACTATGTCATCATAATCCTGGGGCAAGATGTTCTAACTATCAAACTCTGATATGTCTCCTCCTTAAGGGAATGGAGACATTTTAGAACGGGAAAGCCGGATAGGCTAAAAATTATTCAAAGAATAAAAATGCATTAAAAGACAAAAGCTCGAGAAGAGGCATTTATTGGTAAGTTGCTGTTAAATCGAGAGAGAGGAAAACATGAGAGAATTTTTTTCGAGTGCAATTGTTCGGGAAGCTCTAGTCTGCTTGGAAAGAAAAAGTAAGCTCAAATGGGACCCCCTAAGATTCCATATTTATAGAGGGAGATTGGGGGGTTCAAATTTTAAAACTCGACACGAATCCCGAAGCGGCCACTAACTGGCTGCCACGTGTCCAGCAAACCATATGGACAGTGATCCACATCATGGTCGTGCGCTTGCACCGCACCTGATCTACGCTCACAAGGGGAAGTTTTTAGGGGGTTTATGTTCGGATTTTAAACCCGACCCCTGCTTCCGTGAACCGTCATCAGGCCACGGGCTACGAGGGCTTCTTGATATGGATTATCCCCTAACCATACTGTATTCAACATTAGACATGTATCGGATCTATTAAGTGCGTAGAGCCTGGTCCAATCAACACCGGCCCGAGTGCGTGTCTCCCTCGCCAGAATCCCACACCGAGAAGGTCTCACTAGTCACTAATGAACTGGAGATCAGTACCGATTGCATTTTCCTGATCATTTTAGGTCGTGACTGAGCCCCGACCTCCGATACTTAGAACGTAAGTTGAATACAACGATAATGAACCCTATAGCAACAGGGAATATGCGAACACGTGGACGGATCAGCCTAGACCACCAGCCTCGCCATCCGCATGAGCTCCACGTGTTGTGCATGCCACTAGACCGGTAGCTCTCGTTGCTCCCTGACAGCCCCTATATATACCACATTAAATGCAGAGAAAATGGACTTTTGGCAATCTCTATATAGCTATTTTAAGTTTGGGAACTTATGACCTTACGCCATTAACCGAGCATATTCCCTTAAACAACGAGAAGGGGGCAGGACATAAACCCAGTTCGACCGAGCATTTTGTACGTATTTGTGAGAATCGAAGCATTTAACACATCAATATTACTTATATATGTAATTTTGTTATGACTCATTTTTATTATATATGACTCGTCTCACATATTGAGGCTTGGGAGATGGTCTCACAAGATACCATCTCCAAGAGCAATTTACTTGATAATATATTTTTTTTAATTAGATAAATTACCAGTTTACATGTAGTAAATCAATTCAATGATTTATGTGGCACTAATATATAGAAAATGAGTTAATTTTTTTTAAAAGAAGTATATAAATTACTTAGGAATGAATTAGCATAGGTTAGATATATAAACTTGACAAAAAAAAAAATGATATGACAATATATATTAATTGTACAATAAAAATATAGACGTTAAATTCATTTTTTAGTCTTTTTTAATGTTTATCTTTTTTTTGAAAGTATTTTTTTTTTAAATGTATTTCTCTTCTTGCAATATTAATTAACGACGTTATAATGGTAGGATGATGTTTCCGTGTAGCAAGTGCAATGAACACAAATTTAAAAACAACAAAATTCATAGCAATTAAATCACAAATGAAAATAGGTGGAGACAAACTATTAGTCGGAGCGAGCAATCATATTTGGACTAATTCGAGCAAAACAATAATATTTGGACGTTGCTTTTATTTATATTTTTCTTTTCTTATGGTCACCATCGTTGAACTTTTCAAAACTTTTAAAAGTCCTATGACTTGTGGAAAAGAAATGGTATGTTTGATTTTGTAGGCAAATTCAGGGTAGTTAAGCAACCGAACATGAACGAATGAAAGTTGTTTGTCCTCGTTTGTTAAAATTTTTGGAGTGTTCATGTTTGTGTTTGTTAAGGACTCAAAATCATATTTGTGTTCGTTTATTAAGCGTTCATTAGTGTTCGTTAATGTTCATGAGCACGTTCATGAATGTATTCATTAACATTATTAACACTTTCGTTCGCGGACTCAAAATCATGTTCGCGGACATATTCGTTCACGTTCGTAAACACTTTCACACACACTTAATAACCAAACACATGCTCATGTTCATAATCACAATTTGTTTGTGAGCAAGTATATATAGGGTAAGGATCAGGTGTGGGTGGTGCTTCCCGTGCGGTTGTGCGGGTGGACGCACATTAAGCATTACACTAGCGCACTTTAAGTACACAACACACGCACATTAAACACACAAACAAAATACATTCAGAACACAAACTCACGCACCTTAAGCACAAAAGTCACGCATCTTAAGCGCAACCCTCACGCACCTTAAGCACAACCCTCACGCACCTTAAGCACAAAAACACACGCACCTTAAGTTTTAACAACAACTCACAATAAGCACAAGACTCACGCACCTTAAGCACAAGACTCACGCACCTTAAACACAAAACTCATGCACTTTAAAGTTTCAACAACAACTCACGCAACAAATCACATTAAGTACACTCACGCACATTAAGCACAAAACTCACGCACATTAGGCACAGGCCCTCACGCACCTTAAGTACAATACTCATGCACATTAAGTATTACACACTCACGCACATTAAGCACAAACCTCACGCACCTTAAGCACAATACTCACACATTACATTAAGTACAAAACTCGCGCACAACCGCACGAGAAATCTTCACCCGATATATATATATATATATATATATATATATATATATATATATATATATATATATATATATATATATATATATATATATATATATATATATATATATATATGTATGTATGTATGTATGTATGTATGTATGTATGTATGTATGTATGTATGTATGTATGTATGTATGTATGTATGTATGTATGTATGTACGTACGTACGTATGTGCGTGTGTTTAATTGCCGGTTCATGAACATGTTCGTAAACATTATTAAGAGAACACTAAACGAGCTTGTTCATGAACATTATTAAACGAATACAAACGAGTTTGTCACGAACTCTTAGCAAACGAGCCTACAACTGTTCAGATTCTGTTTATTTATGAACCGAACTCTAAAATTTGTTCCTTTATATTCGTTTACGTTAATAAACAAATATAAACCAGCGCTTACCGAACACGAATACAAATAATTTAATTTGTCAAAAACTCTATTCGCTAACACACATAGACAAATTATACTATATATGGAGTATGTCGACTTTACATTGTGGATCCAAATCAGAAATAACATTCAAATTATTCATATTAAACAATTGGATTTTGTAGGGGTAGGATGAGGGAAGCATATTTTACATTGACCACTTGTGTTAAAAAAAGTGAAATTATCCATCCTATCCGCCCTATACTCCAGTCTAATAGGATTATGAAGGGGGTAAACTAACTACTCAAATTGCTGGTGAAAGTCAATCTTTAGTATCTTCTGACAAGTTTCACCTTTGTGATTCGATTCATTCAAAGGCCTGTGGAACCATTTTGAAGCACAAAAAATAATGACTTAGAAAGTAAACATCATCTGTCAAGTAGGGTGGTTTGATGATATGACTATTATGAATAAATTAGATGGTAATTGCTGAAAAAAAAAAAAAAAAAAAAAAGTCAACACCATCTACTTCAATAACTCCTTCTGAAATGCTGAGTCATGCAAAATCTTCCATCTACAGCTAAACACGTACACGCAGTCTAGCTTGACTATCACCTCTCTTTTTTTTCTTTTTTTTTTTAATTATTACAACTAGCCCGTTGCGTTGCAAAGCTAGACTGCCAGAGCTGTGAAATGGCTGCTTCTGTAAGTAATGATATGGGATGGGTTTGTAGTTGCATTATTTCTTATGGTTTCTTAGCCTTTCTGTGTTTTTTCTGCAATGTTGGAGGGAGCACTGACAGTCTCAGGCCCGGCGAATCTGTTACTCAAAACCGGACCTTAGTCTCCGCCGGCGGGAACTTCGCCTTAGGATTCTTCCACCCCGGAAACTCTTCTTCTTCCTTTCTCGGGATTTGGTATAATTCCATCAACAATACTGTGATCTGGGTGGCTAACAGAGAATCTCCCCTGCGTCAAGATTCTGAAGCCATTTTCACACTGGGGTATGATGGGAATTTGCAGCTTTTGGACGGCGGCGGAAGAAATATTATATGGTCAACCAATATCTCAGGCGGCGGCGGAGGATCCACGGCCGCCCAACTGCAAGATACGGGAGATCTTGTTGTGAAGCAGGGTGAGAACACCGTTTGGGAAAGCTTTGATGGCGACAGCGATACATTAATGCCGGAGATGAGGCTAAAGGTAAACAAGAAAACCGGAAAACGGAACGTGATAAGATGTTGGAGTAGCAGTGATGATCCCCGGCCAGGGAAATTCTCCTGGGGAATGGATCCTAAAGGATCTCCCCAGTTTTTGATTTGGAAAGAAGATAAACCTTATTATAGGAGCAATTTGTATCAGGAAGGGTTTACTTACAGTATTTACTTTCCCTCAGGTGGATATGCTTTACGTTATTCTTTTGCTAATGAAAATGATGAAGAATATTTCAGCTATGGATATGTTGACACCTCAATTCACGCAAGGGTCATCTTGACTCCTGACGGTCATTTGCAGTTTCTGTCGAAGAAAAAAACAAGTGAAAATTGGCAGATGGTATGGCAAACGCCAACCAATGAGTGTGAATTGTATGCACGCTGTGGTTCATTTGGAAGCTGTGAGATCCACGATTCGCACCCGGTTTGCAGTTGCTTGAATGGGTTTAAACCAAGATCACAGAGAGATTGGGATAATGGGAAGTATGATGGAGGGTGTGAGAGGAGAGTAGCCTTGGGGTGTGGAGAAGGAGAAGATGATAAGTTCATGAGGTTGCCTTTGAGGAAATGGCCTGACCATTCATCTTCACTGGGAAATATGACATTTCTGGAATGTGAAATGGAGTGTTCTAACAACTGCTCTTGCACCGCTTTTGCGTACTCAAATATCACTTATGATTCTGCAGTGTATTGTATAAACTGGTTTGGCGACTTAGTCGATTTGGCACATAACTATTCTCCTGCAGGTGACTTCGGCCAAGATCTATATGTTCGTGTTCATGCATCTGAGCTAATAAGTAAGTATTACAGGGTGGTTGTCTGGACGGGCTTAACTCACTAGTTCAGCAGTGAATTTATTGTTTGTGTGCATTGACATTTTAGTTTGTCTACTGAACAATTAAGTTACCATGATTTATATTCAGTCGGGGTGTAGGGTAGGATGTTTATTTCTTTGCTTTTATTTATGATGTTAATTAATGCAGATGGAAGCACTGGAAATGAACATTCATCACCTCACAAAAACAAACGTCGTCTTGTTGCAATAATAGTAGCTTCAGTCTCTGCATTCTTTCTTACTGTTTTGGTGTATATCCTCAACCGAAAATACTTTACAGGGAAAGGTATATATATATATATAGTTAATTAATTCTTGTGCTCATTTTGGTTCACATACACTTAATTAATTATGTTCAGGTCTTAATTAATTTCTGCGTGTGTAAACACAGGTCCTACAATGTCATCAACTGCACCCCTTCTTGGTGGTAAAGATGACATAGACTTGTTGCAGCTTAGCTTGCGGGGAATAATTGATGCTACAAACAATTTTGATGAAGCAAACAAACTTGGAGAGGGCGGTTTTGGCCCAGTCTATAAGGTGACAACAATTTTGTGATTATTGTTTCATCACTTATAGAGACCTTGACTTTTCATTATATGTTGTTTTTCTTTAGGGGTTTATATCAGAATTTGGGATGGTAGCCATCAAAAGACTATCCAAGCAATCATCTCAAGGTCAGCAGGAGTTCATGAATGAACTGAAGCTAATTGCAAAACTTCAGCATACAAATCTTGTGCGCCTATTGGGTTGCTGCATTGAGAATGAAGAAAAGATATTAATCTATGAGTACCTGTCCAAGAGAAGTCTAGACAAATTCTTATTTGGTACATTTCTGTTTATCTTTTCAATTACTTAAATTCTCAAGTTTCACTTGTTGGGAGCCTTAAATCATGCATCCATTTAAAATTTCATTAACCATAATCTCACTATGTTTCTCTCAGATGCATTTCAAAAAGATAATTTAGATTGGAATACGCGCATTCAAATAATAGATGGAGTTGCTCAAGGCATTCTTTATCTTCACAAGTACTCTAGACTGAAAGTCATTCATCGGGACTTAAAAGCAAGTAATATTTTACTTGACGAAGCAATGAAACCCAAAATATCAGATTTTGGAATGGCAAGAATTTTTTATATTGATCAAACTCAGGCAAAAACAAATCATGTGGTTGGAACATAGTAAGCTTACTTCAAATCACTCTTGATTCGTATTTGAGTCAATTGATAACTTTATAACTAATATATGTCTTTTTTTGCTTAGTGGTTACATTCCGCCGGAATATGTATTACATGGTCAGTTTTCTGAGAAATCCGATGTATTCAGTTTTGGAGTGTTGCTATTGGAAATTGTTAGTGGCCAGAAGAATTCTAATTTTTTTCGGACTCAACTTTCTTTAACTCTCCTAGGATGGGTAGGCATTTTCAATAACTTCATGACTTTAGATGTATAAATTATATGTAGATCCAAAGAAATAGATGTTATGATTTATTTTATTTTTTATTGTATTAGGCATGGGAAAACTGGAAAAATGGACGACCACTTGAATTTGTTGATTTAGCGATAAAGGAATCATGCGACTCTCTCAAGGTCATAAAGTGCATCGAGGTAGGACTTCTATGTGTTCAAGCAATTCCAACGGATAGACCAATAATGTTTGATGTAGTTCGAATGTTGAGCAATGACCTTGCAACACCAATTCAACAACTCAAAGAACCTGCATTTGTTTCTAGCAAATCTAATTCCATTGTTTGTACTTCTCATCTTAATTCTAAAAATGAGATTACAATAAGTACTCTCGATCCTCGATAAAGGATCTGTCATTTTGTGTAAATATTTTATACCCTTGTCAATTCTTATACATTTCTTTTGCCTTGATGTAATATCTTCTAATCATTTTATTTCAAATCTTTTGTAAAGTTTACATCTTATCAATTGAAGTTTTCTTCTATTCAATTAAGTCTATCAAACAATTACATATGTTATTTTGGTGTATGATTTTGATGTCATGATCAGGAGATCAAGGGATATGACACGCAATATGTGACAACTATTTTCTTTACACTGAATCAATTTTGTATTTCTGGTTAAATTTTGTTAAAAATTGTTGTCTATGTTCAGAACACATCAAAATCATTCATAATATGTTTAAATTGCACATTTTTTTATTTTTAATATCAGAACTTGGGAGTAGAAAATGAAGTAGAAAGTCTTTCTCATTTGCATGTTTAAAAAAACGCCCATCCAAACCTATACCACATTTTAAAATATAGAGTCCATACTTTTTAACTCCCGTCTTCCAAATAAGCAAGCAAGCAAGAAGAAAGAAGAAAGCATACAACAATGGCGGATTCGTGTTCGCACTGGTGGCACGCTCCTTTCTACCTGGCCCTCTCTGTAACACTGGCTTTCGTCGCCATCTCCACCGGCAACCGCTCCAGAAACCCTCAATCAAAACTCTCACTCCAACATCCACTACATCACAACCTCTCATTCAACGCCTCCCGCGCTCTCCGCCTCCGCGGCGGCTTCACCGTCTTCGCCGCCCTCCTCCAAATCTCCCCGGAGCTCTTCCTCTCCTCCTCCCCGGAGTCCACCGTGTTCGCCGTCCAAGACCCCGCCTTCTTCAACGCCTCCCTCCCTCCCCCCTGGGCCATCAAGGAGCTCCTCCTCTACCACACCTCCCCTTCCCGCCTCCCCTTCCGCCTCCTCCTCAGAATCTTCCCCGGAAGCTGCGTCTCCACTCTTCTCCTCGATAAGAACGTCAAGATCACCAAGATTGATCGAAAACGCCGCTCCGTTGAGATCAACCACGTCTTGATCACCCACCCGGATCTTTTTCTTGGACCCGGCCTCTCCGTCCATGGAGTCGCCGGATTCTTCTCGCCGGTAAAAGAAACCGTCCAATCCTTCACCTGCGATTCCAGAAACCCCCAACTCGAATGGCCAAGAATCGTTCAACTCCTCAGCGCTAACGGATTCGTCTCCTTCGCAATCGGACTGTACTCTGTTCTTGACGGCCTCGCCGGCGATCACTCCAACTTGACCTCCGTCACCATCTTCGCGCCGCCCAGCTTGGGATTCTTATCATCCCCATCGCCATTGTTGAGCAAAGTGGTGAAGCTTCATTTACTGCCCAGTAAATACACGTACCAGGATCTGTCATCTCTGCCCCAGGGAACTGTTCTCAACACTCTGCTTCCCGGTGCAGAAGTCAAGATCAGTTTCAATAATTCCACGAGAAGTTTGTCTGCCAATGGAGTGGAGATCATTGCACCAGATGTTTTAAGATCCAGAAATTTCACAGTCCATGGGATTTCTCGAGCTTTAGGTGTATATAATCAGCTTCAGAACCAGATAGTTTAGTTCTTCTGCTCTGCTTTCCAGAGACAACAAATTTCTGGGATTTGTGTTTAGTTTTGTATTCAATTTTGTTGATTCAAGAAAATTCAAGTTAGGCTTGTGGAATCATGTGTGTTATTTTATATCATCAAAGAGTTAATAGACACCCAGTTTCGTTGGCATTGGCATGAATGGTCGTGCACACCAATTTAGATAGTTCAAAATCACCTCTCATAATGAAAAAATCAAAATGATCAGCACTTTGTTACTTAATTGGATCGACTCGGTATCAACGGGATAAGTCGAGTATGGTACGAGCTTAAAAGCACCTCTTATAGTTAAGATTTACTCAAGACACCTCGTGGTCTAACCAAAAATCAAAGAGTTAATAGACAAGCAGTTTGGTTGGCATGAACAACCGTGCACTCCCATCTTTTAAGAGAGATAGTTCAAAATCACCTCTTTTAATTGAAAAATCAATTTGACCAACACTTTGTTCCTTAATTGGACCGATTCGATATAAACTTAAGTATAGTACGAGCTTAAAGACACCTCTTATAATTAAGATCTACTCAAGATACATCGTGGTCTAACCAAAAATCAAAGAGTTAACAGACAACCAGTTTGGTTGGCATTAATGATTGTGCACTCTCATCTTTTAAAAGAGGTAGTTCAAAATCACATCTCTTAATGAAAAAAATCAATATGGTCAACACTTTGTTCCTTAAATGGAAACCGACTCAGTATAAACATGATTAGTTTGAGTATTGTACGGGCTTAAAAACACCTCTTATAGTTAATATCTACTCAAGACACTTCCTGACAAAAAATCAAAGAGTTAATAGACAACTAGGTTGGTTGGAGTGAATGGTCGTGCACTCTCATTCTTTAAGAGATGTTCAAAAATCTAATCTCGATCTTATGAAAAATCTAATATGGTCAACACTTTGTACCTTAATTGCGTTGGCTTGATGCGAACTGTAATTAGTCTGAGTATGATATAAGTTTAAAGCAAGGTTTCTCCTATAGTTAGGATCTACTCAAAGACACATCGTAGATCAAAAATCAAAGAGATAATAGACAATTATAAACACAAAAAGTAGAGCAAGAACAATTTAATTTAAACAGTACTACTATTAGATTGGGAGTTTCTGAACCAACAAAAAAAAGAAGAGAAAAAGTGTAAGAATAAACATCTTCATTGTTGTTTGATCATCTGGGAGCTTGGGAAGAAGCTTGCAGAGCTGTTTGAAGCCAAGCTTCAGATTCCTGCATCAACTCAGGGCTCAATCTAAACATCAGAACACAAAACTCCATCTGATCAAGCCCTCCATCACCATCCAAATCCCCTTCTTTGATCATGCTCCACACCTCATCATCTCCCAAATCTTGAAGCCCTAAAAGGGCACAGTTCTTCTTCAGGCTCTCAAATGTAATCACCCCTTTGTTCCTGTCCATCAGCATCCTGAACCCATTGCACAGCTCTTCAATCAGCCCCTCCCCACCCAGCTTATCAGCCATCAATGGCAGCATATCTTGGAAAGCCATTGTTTCCTGGAAAAAGGGTGTTCCTGTTTTGGGTTATTGAACAGAAAGATGGGGTTTTTATAAGGGAGATTTGAAGAGTGATGACAACCAAGTTACAGGAGAGTTAATAGCTGGTTGGCTTTGGTTATTGCAACACTGAAATTGCAGAGATCTTTCTGGGGAGAATTGGTAGGCTTTGTCACCCTTTTAAGGGGCACAATATAGACCATATGCATAGTATAGAGAAAACCTTAATAATATAATAATGTTGTTTAAGACCAAAGCATAATTGGGTTGTGAAAGGTGTTGGGTTTTGGAGGGCAATTGGAAATATGTTAGGAATCAAATCACATGATGAGGATGATTTGTTGGTCTAAAGGGGACTTGAGGTGGGAGCTTGGAAACTACGGTTGGCATCTTCACTTGTGGTTCAAACACCATTAGACTATTGAAGAATCTTCGAATCTTATTAAAAAAAAAAAATTCAAAATAATATCCTATAAAAGTTTATATAAAATGCCCTCAATTCTCATTTCTGTTGCCGGTTGATACCATGCATCTTTGTATTCCGTGTAAAAAAATAATGATTTTGAGTGGTAAATAACGTTTTTATATTGCCATTTAAACATATTTATTGACGTAAATCGGACAAAAAAATGGTCATGCTACAATAATGTTAGGATCAACGAGGATGCTTTGAAAAAGATGACTAAATGTGGAATGGACACACATAAATCTAAGACTAAAAAAGGAAAATGAATTTAAAGGTAGAACTAAGGCTCTGTTTGGCAGAGCTTATTTAGGAGCTTATAGTTTATTTTAGGCTAAAGTGTCATCCCGCACCATGAACCACTCTTGATTATTCATGCCGCACCATGAACTTTAATAAGTGATATTTAGAGCCATAAATCAATTTTTGTTTTTCGTCTAGAACTTTTTACAGGTTTCCTACAGGTTACCGGTAATAATATTGCTGACATGGAATTTTTTATTAGTTTTTTTTGGTATTTTTCTTCTTTCGCCTTCGTATTATTATTATTTTTTTGCATATTTTTCTTTTTTCCTAAACGTATAGGCCCGCTCTGCGTTTTTCGCTTCTCGTTTCTCCGATTCCAAACTCCGCAAAGCAGGCCTGATCAGAGAAATGAGAAGCGAAAAAAGCAGAGCAGGCATATATGTTTAGGAAAAACGAAAAATACGAAAAAAAAAATAATACGAAGACAAAAGAAGAAAAATTCCAAAAAAAAACTAATAAAAAATTCCACGTCAGAATTATTATTACCGGTAACTTGTAGGAAACCTGTAAAAAGTTCTAGACGAAAAAAAATTATGGTTTATGACTCTAAATATCACTTATTAAAGTTCATGGTGCGGCATGAATAATCAGGAATGGTTCATGGTGCGAGATGACACTTTAGCCCTTATTTTAAACTATGAATAAGCTATAAGCTCTGTTTGGTAATGTTCTCAAAATAAGCTCCTAGCTTAAAATAAGAGCTTAGTTTGGAACGCTACTTTAGGTAGCGTTTCAAAATAAGCTCCTAGCTTCCTAACTTTTTTTTTTTTCATCTTTATCCTTATTATTTTAAAGAAATGACATAATTTACTCTTCCCAATTAAAACTCTTTTCTCTTCTCTTTTATCTGCAATCTAACTTTCACCGCAAATATTATTATTATTATTATTATTATTATTATTATTATTATTAGGAGATTTGCAACAATATTGCTACTTCATTATGAGATGCTATATCATAATTATGCTAATAGTTTTATTTCAAAATGTTAAATTTAAATATGTAAACAAACTAATTTAAATTTTATGAAGATATTCTTTTTAGTATTTTTACATTTATCAGCTTATAAAAAGCTAATTTTACCAAACACTATCAATCTTAACAGCTAGTTTAACAGCTCTTCAGTTTTCAGCTCCGAGCTTATAGCTTTTCAGCTTTCAGCCCCTTTTCAGCTTTCAGCTCCTAACTTATAGCTTTTCAGCTAGGTTTGCCAAACAAAGCCTAAATAGACCAAAATGCCCTTCTATTTAACGTTATTTTAACGGTCTCGTTGACGAAGGAAAAATAATAATAATTATGCTACAATAATACTATAACCAAAGGGGATGTTTTGTTAAAATAAAAATTAAAAGTAGACTAACACCTATAAATCTATGACAAGAAATAAAATTAACTCTTATTTATTAATTTAAGAATTTTTTTATATTCTATAATCAAATCTCTGACTTCCATTTGGAAGGGTTAGGTCGACACCATCAAACCACAAGATACTTGGCAACCATATGAAACATTTGACTATGAAACCAGATGCAGACCTATAACAAACTAGTATAATAGCTGACAAGGGCATAAAATATTTACAGAAATTGACAAATCCGTTACCGAGGATCGAGAATACTTATTGTAATCTCATTTTTAGAATTAGGATGAGAAGTACAAATACTGGAATTAGAATTGCTCGAAACAAATGCAGGTTCTTTGAGTTGTGGAATTGGTGTTGTAGGATCATTGCTCAACATTCGAACTACATCAGACATTGTTGGTCTATCTGTTGGAATAGCTTGGACGCATAGAAGTCCCACCTCAATACATCTTATGACTTTGAGAGAGTCACAAGATTCCTTTATAGCTATATCAATAAATTCAAGTGGTTTTCCATCTTTCCAGTTTTCCCATGCCTAATACAAACAAAAATAAAAGAAATCATATCATATATTTCTTCTGGTATAGATATAATATATATCCAAATCATAAAATTATTGAAAATGCCTACCCATCCTAGGAGGGTGACAGATAGTTGAGTCTGAAAAAAATTAGAATTCTTTTGGCCACTAACAGTTTCCAATAGCAGCACTCCAAAACTGTATACATCGGATTTCTCCGAAAATTGACCATGCAATACATATTCCGGTGGAATATAACCACTAAGCAACAAAAGAAAATATATTAGTTATAGAAATACTAACCTATGATATGATCAAGTTATGAATTGACTCAAATATTGAACAAGAGTGGTTCCAACTAAACTTACTATGTTCCAACCACATGATTTGTTTTCTCCTGAGTTTGGTCCATCACAAAAATTCTTGCCATCCCAAAATCTGATATTTTGGGTTTCATTGCTTCATCAAGTAAAATATTGCTTGCTTTTAAGTCCCGATGAATGACTTTCAATCTAGAGTACTTGTGAAGATAAAGAATTCCTTGAGCAACTCCCTCTATTATTTGAAACCGCGTGTTCCAATCTAAATTTTCTTTCTGAAATGCATCTGAGAGAAATATAGTGATTTCGTTAATGAAATTTTAAATTTGTGATTCAAGGCCCCTAGCTAGCAAATGAAATCTCCAAATAGTAACATAGAAAATAACAAATGTACCAAATAAGAACTTGTCTAGACTTGTCTTGGACAGGTACTCATAGATTAATATTTTTTCTTCACCCTCAATGCAGCAACCCAATAGGCGCACAAGATTAGTATGCTGTAGTTTTGCAATTAGCTTCAGCTCATTCATGAACTCCTTCAAGCCTTGAGATGATTGCCTAGATAATCTCTTGATGGCTACCATCCCAAATTCTGACAAAAATCCCTAAAGAAAAATAACAATTAAGGCAATAACCTTCTACTCTAATAAAGACAAATCATTGTATATATATGGGACTGTGAAACAATTATCATAAAATAAAATTACCTTATAAACAGGACCAAAACCTCCCTCTCCGAGTTTGTTCACTTCATCGAAGTTGTTTGTAGCATCAATTATTCTCCTGAAACTGAGCTGTAGCAACTCTATATCGTCTTTACCGAGAAGGGGTGCATCAGATGAGTCCGTAGACTTTTTACAAACCCAACCTGGAAATACAATCAACATATAAGTGCATGGGATGTGAACCAAAATGACCATATATACACTCACTTGAGACTTGAGAGGTGTTAATTGTATACCTTTTCTTCCACAGTATTTCCAGGTTAGGATATACACCAAAACAAAAATAAGAAAGAATGCAGAGACTGAGGCCACTATTATTGCAACAAGACGAGATTTGCTTTTGTGAGATGAATGATCATTTCCACTGCTTCCATCTGCATTAATTAACATCATATGATAAAAGTAATGAAATAAACACCATACCCCACCCCACCCCACCCCACCCCACCCCTGTATTTCATATCTGAAACTAACTTACTTAGCTCAGACGAATGAACACGAACATAAAGATCTTGGCCGAAACCTCCAGATGTATAGTTATGTACCAAATCGACTAAGTCGCCAAACCAGTTTATACAATTTACTGCAGAGAAAGAATTGATATTTGAATACCCAAAAGCGGTGCAGTTGCAGTTCTTAGAACACTCCATTTCACATTCCTTAAATGTCATATTTCCCAGTGAAGATGCATGGTCAGGCCATTTCATCATCTGCAGCTTCATGAATGTATCATCTTCTCCACATCCCAAGGCTATGCTCCTCTCACACCCTCCATCATACTTCCCCTTATCCCAATCTCTCTGTGATCTTGGTTTAAACCCTTCCAAGCAACGGCAAACCGAGTGGGCATCGAATCTCTCACAGCTTCCAAATGAACCACAGTGTGCATATACTTCACACTCAGTGGCTGGCGCCTCCCACAGCCTCGACCATTGATCACTTGTTTTTTGCTTCAACAGAAACTGAATATGACCTTCCGGAGTCAAAACGAACCTTGATTGAATTGAGGTGTTAGTATATCTAAAGCTGAAATTTTCTTCATCATTTTCTGTAGCATAAGAATAAATTGCATATCCCCCTGAGGGAAAGTAAACACTGTAAGTAAACCCTTGCTGTGACGTGGGGCTCCTATAATAAGGTTTATCTTCTTTCCAAATAAAAAACTGGGGAGATCCTTTAGGATCCATTCCCCACGAGAATTTCCCTGGCCGGGGATCATCACTGCTACTCCAACATCTTATCACGTTCCGTTTTCCGGTTTTCTTGTTTACCTTTAGCCTCATCTCCGGCATTAATGTATCGCTGTCGCCATCGAAGCTTTCCCAAACGTTGCTCTCACCCTGCTTCACAACAAGATCTCCCGTATCTTGCAGTTGGGCGGCCGTGGATCCTCCGCCGCCGCCGCTTGAGATATTGGTTGACCATATAATATTTCTTCCGCCGCCGTCCAAAAGCTGCAAATTCCCATCATACCCGAGTGTGAAAACGGCTTCAGAATCTTGACGCAGCGGAGATTCTCTATTAGCGACCCAGATCACAGTTTTGTTGATGGAATTGTACCATATCCCGAGAAACAAAGAAGAAGAAGAAGAGTTCCCGGGGCGGAAGAATCCTAACGCGAAGTTCCCGCCGGCTGAGATTAAAGTCTGGTTTGGAGTAATCGATTCGCCACGTCTGAGACTATCGGTGCTCGCTCCAAGATTGCAGAAAATACACAGAAAGGCTAATAAAACATACAAAATGCAACAAACCCATCCCATACCAATACAATACCGCTAGCAGTTTAGCTTTTTCTAAGCAACAGCTATCTATCTATACATTGAATTATGGGGTTGACCATAAAAAAGGTAGCTAATTGAGTTTCAGCAGACCTTGATCTAGATGGTGTTTACTTTGAAATTTCAAATTTGTTTATTCCAATATGGTTCACAGATTGCATAAGTTCAATCATGGGCCCAAAGGGGGAAAGAAACTTCGTGGCAATTTTCCTTCGGAATTTCAATTTTTTGATTTGCATCCTACGCGTGAAGGACAATCATTAATGCGTTGACCATGGTTTGGTGTAAAAAAAAATAATTATCACATATTACCTATCATATCCCCTGTAATCTCCGGATGATGACATCAAAATCCTACACCAAAACAACATATGTAATGGTTTGATAGACTTAATCCAACAGAAGAGAACTTCAATTGAAAGAAATCGTTTTAGAATTCAATTCCGTTAAAGATTCAATAAGATGTAAACTCTACAAAAGACTTGAAAGAAAATGAGGAGAACATATTACATATTGACGAAAGAACTGTATAAGAGTTGTCAAGGGCATAAAATATTTACAAAAAAGGGTGAATCAACGATTTGGTCCCTTACTTATTCGCGACTTGTCAATGTTGCCCCTGAATCACGTATTCATCAATTTAGTCCCCGAAAATAATTGTTTTTTGTCAAATAAGTCCCTCAGGCCGTTTTCCATCATGTCTCAGGCGAGACCTCCGATTTGCCCTGGGCATTTTGGTCTTTTCACGCCTTCTTCTTCATTAACTCTGACCAAACTTCGCCGGAGAAGCTTAAGCTCGCCGGAAAACTCCATTGCCGGTTTGCTGCTTCGCCGGGAGGGATCAACTGCCAGGGGCGGAGGTCGCTGCTCCGATCTGCTGCTTCCGCCTCTTCGTGATTCCACCAGAGAGAGGGAGGGGAGATGTAGGTCCATGGACCTTGTCTCACCGTCGGATGTTGTTGTTGCTCAGCTTTTACCGAGAGAGAAGATATCGAGACGGAGCTAGCCGCCGCCTGTCGCCGCGATCTGCCGGGGGATCGCCGGCGCACCCCCAACGCATCGTTGGATTACAAAGCTCCAATGAATGCCGGAAATCACAATGCATAAACATCATTCTCCAGCAGCAGAGTAGAAGATATTTATTCCCTTATTTAGCTTACTCTTTTCAAAATCACTGAATGCAACATAAGCATATACAAATTTAGCATCAGAGTCATATGTATTGAGAGAGAGAGAGAGAGAGAGAGAACCTCGTGAAGTTGATCCATGTCGGATTCCATTTTCTGTTTCGGCGCCTCTTCATTTCCACCCGAAAAAGACGACGGTGTTGATGTGGCTGGGCTCCCATAATCTTCTTTTGCTTTCTCGTCCTTTACACTACTGTGACTAAGGTTTTGTTCCTCTTTCTTCCCTTCTGCCTCATCGGTCTCGTTAAGTTCGGTATCGCTAGCAGTCTCGTAACCATCGGAACCATATCCAGATGCCGCCGGCGCAGCCGCAGAGGACGAACCAGCGCCTGTCGATGCTTCAGCCGCCTTGACTGGTGGCGGTTTTGGCTTTGACGTTTCGTCAGAGGATGGCACGGCTTCGATCAACACCATTGCTGCGTTGCTTTTTCTCTGTTTGATTGTCTTCCCCTGGAGTAGACCGGGGCGCAAAAATGTTGTAGTGTTGCTTTGATTTGCTTGCGATTCTGGAAAGCTCTGAAATCGGAGGTGAAGCTGACGTCGGCGGAAGAGATGAAGCTCCCTCCGGCGAGCTTGAGCTTCTCCGGCGAAGTTTGGTCAGAGTTAATGAAGAAGAAGGCGTGAAAAGACCAAAATGCCCAGGGCAAATCAGAGGTCTCGCCTGAGACATGACGGAAAACGGCCTGAGGGACTTATTTGACGAAAAACAATTATTTTCAGGGACTAAATTGATGAATACGTGATTCAGGGGCAACATTGACAAGTTGCGAATAAGTGAGGGACCAAATCGTTGATTCACCCTACAAAAAATGATAGATACTTTATCGAGAATCGAGAGTACTTATTGTAATCTCATTTTTAGAATTAGGATGAGAAGTACAAACAATGGAATTGGATTTGCTAGAAACAAATGCAAGTTCTTTGAGTCGTGGAATTGGTGCAGGTCATTGCTCAACATACGACAGAAGACATTATTGGTCAATCCGTTAGAATTGCTTGAACACATAGAAGTCCCACCTCAATACACCTTATGACCTTGGGAGAGTCGCATGATTCTTTTATTCTTAAACTAACAAATTCAAGTGGTTGTCCTTCTTTTCACTTTTCCCCTGCCTAATACAATAAAAAAAATAAAATAAATCATAACATCTATTTCTTTGGATCTACATATCTACTATACTAATAAGATATACTATATTAATAAGAGTCAAAGAGAGTTAAGCTTATAATGTGTTGAACTACATATCTACTATACTAATAAGATATACTATATTAATAAGAGTCAAAGAGAGTTAAGCTTATAATGTGTTGAAAAAATGACGGTCAAATTTTTTAATCAAATGAATGGCTCAGATTAGGTAGATTTTAATTTTTCCTTGAGATTTCCTAATTTATTCTTAATTATATGATTATTCGTTAACTTTTCTGTTAAATATTATCTTCTCTGTTTATTTCTGTTAGTTCACCGTTAAGTTACTCATTGATTTCAATATAAGAATGGTCTTAAGTTCAAACTCCATCCCAATCAAAGTTGGCATAATTAGTATTCTATTTTACTCTTATTATATTATATATTATAAATAATAATTTAGTAGCTACAATAAAAAATAATACATATGCATTTCTTTAATTTAGAATTATGTGTCTACAATGCCTTTATTCAAAAAAAAAAAATTATTCATTACCAATAAATTAAATAAGAGAAATAATTTCATTAGTTATATTGTCTTTATTTTTCTCCAATATAAAAATTTTTTACATTCAAATTCATCAATTGATTATATTCGTTACATTCTCACTACAGTGTCTTTATTCAAAAATAAAAAATAAATTTTATTATAATAATAATAATAATAAATTAATAAAAGAAATAAATAAATAAATAATAAAGCATATGGAGAGCCGAACGTTCGGCTCCCCTTAGTTTTGCCACTTTTTCCACATTGGTGGGAAAAGTGGCATGGGAGCCTTGGGGCTCATATAAAAGGAGTCTTAAGGCTCTAATTTAAAAACTAAGCTTGCCCATCCGTTGATGGGCAAGAAGTGAGCCAGCGAAACTGGCTCTTATTATTCAAGGGAAAAATATTTGGTGTACTCTCATTTTATACTCCCAACTTGTACTCCCTCTCACATGTTCTTGATGTAGACATTTATCTGTGGTCCCACATGATGAAAATAATCAATCCTTGTTTGTCACCTCAAGGAGTATAAGTAAGGGAGTACGCATAGTAGAACTCTATTCAAGGAGTCGAAATGGCTCTACAGTAAACTTTTTTTTTTTTTTTCTAAATATAGAGGTGTTTTGGGGAAATCATTCTCAAAAACGCTAAGTGAAAATATTGTAAATTGCAATGTTTGTATTTTCAGTGGTTTGGAACAAATTGTTACTTCAAACAGTTGAATAACCAAACACTTTCTTTAGCATTTTGATCTTTGGGTTACATCATATTTACCAATCGTCCAATATCTTTAGGTTACATTATAATTAAAAATTTTATGCTTTCAAATTTTTATTATTTTTTTAATTTTTACTACATCTAAATTCCTTAAATTATGAATTTCTTTATCCATAATAATTTATTCAACAACAATGGTTGAACTAAATGAACACTGAGCAAAACACCTAAAAGATTGGTACTGTTGTATTCATTCATTGATCTTGTATATATGTGCACTCATTAAATATATTAGAACCTTTTGCAACAAAAATACTTGGTTACTATTTAAAAATGTTTAGTAACAATTATAATGAATCTCCTATATTACATTATATTCATATACTATGAGTTACGTATTTAAATAAACAAATTCGACATTAAATTACTTATGTATGAACTTCTCATATATAATCTTGCATTGATATACTTTCAAATATTTATTTAATTATAAGCATTGGACATTAACTCATTCGCGCAATGCACATGTACAACTAGTAATTTATATATCCAAAGTCATGAAGTTATTGAAAATTCCCACCCATCCTAAGAGAGTTAAAGAAAATTGAGTTTGAAAAAAAAAAATTAAAATTCTTCTGGTCACTAATAGTTTCCAACCGTAGCACTCCAAAACTGAATACATCGGATTTCTCAGAAAATTAATCATGCAATACATATTTCGGTGGGATTTAACCACTAAGCATAAAAAGATACGGAGTATATATTAGTGTAAATTAAAGTTATCAATGAATTGAATCATTGGCGCAAAAGGGGAAACAAAACTTGTCACATAGATTAAATTTGTCACAATATATTAAATATTAACTTTTACCAGAGTAATTTATTCATCCACAATCCTCTTAGACCGGAGTGTGGGGTGTATTGGGTGGATAATTTCACCTTTTTTACGCACGTTAAGTGGCCTACGTAAAATATGCTTCTCTCACGCAAAATATTCCGTGGACCCGGATGGTTGGGTCTACCATGCAAGGTGGATCCGAATCCAAAATATACAATTTATATACTGAATGTTAATTTACAATTTACATACTAAATGTTCATAAATCACATACACAATTTACATACTAAATGTTCACAATTCAAATTATGAACATTCAGTACATCAATTGTGTATTTTGCAAGGTGGACCGGGTCCATAGTATAACTATCACTCTCCTCATCCTAACCCAACAAAATCCAATTAACTATTTGCATAATTTGAATGTTATTTCTAATTTGAATCCACAATGTAAATGGACCCTACTCCATATATAGTATAATTTGCCTATAAAATCAAACATACTATTTTGAGTAAAAGACATTTTTGGTCCTAGACTTATAGTGTCTTGGACAATTTTAGTCCTTTATAAAAAAATTTGCCATTTTATGGACAGAGTTATTGTGGCGAGGACATTTTTGGTCCTCCGTCTATATTTCTGTTAGATAACCGTATGAGAGAGGGGCAATTACGTCAATTTAGGCTATCTCCTTCTATCTATTATATCTATGTGTGTTTGGCGGCTTCGATTCTCCTTCTATCTATTTGATTAGTAACCTGTTTGGCGGCTTCGATTCTCCGGCAATTTCTTCGTACAACTGCAACTTGGACTCTCCGACTCCTTCGAATTATGACCGAGAAGAAAACAAAGCACATATATATATAATAGATAGAAGGAGATAGCCTAAATTGACGTAATTACCCCTCTCTCAGACGATTATCTAACAGAAATATAGACGGAGGACCAAAAATGTCCTCGCCACAATAACTCTATCCATAAAATGGCAATTTTTTTTATAAAGGACTAAAATTATCCAAGCCACTATAAATTTAGGACTAAAAATGTCTTTTACTCTACTATTTCCTTTCCAAAAGTCATAAGACTTTTAAAAGTTTTGAAAAGTTCAACGATGGTGACCATAAGAAAAAAAAAATTTTAAAAAACAAAAAGCGACGTCTAAATATTATTATTTTGCTCGAATTTATTCCAAATATGATTGCTCCGACTAATAGATTGTCTCCACCTATTTTCATTTGTGTTGTAATTGCTATGAATTTGGTTGTTTTTAAAATTGTGTACATTGCACTTGCTGATGAAGTATATAGTGCAATGGTGCAGTGTAGCAACAGAATGGAGACAAGAAGACGCGTTTTTGGTAGACGCTTTTGGTAGACGCCTTCGCTTTTGGCAGTAGACGCTTTTGGCAGTTATAACTGCTTCTTTCTTATCTCTGTATATAAGTTCATGTTGAGCTTCCTTTTTCAATGTTAATCAATTCCCTTTCTTCTCTGCTTAGACTCTAGTATACTTTGCTCAACAATATGGTTGATTCTCATGCATGACCTGAGATAATTCATCATGGTATCAGAGCACCGCAGCTACGCAGCGGTGGTGATGTTAGAAAATCAGAATAACAACGGTGGAGGCTCGACAGAACAAGCCGGAGCCGGAGCTTCTTCGAGTCACATTCCGATGAACGTCGATCATGCACAGGAATTCGACGATCCTTGGTATCTCCATATCACGGAGAATCCTAATTTGATTCTCGTCTCTCCGCCTCTGTCCAAAGTGAACTATGCGTCATGGAATCGATCAATGAAAATTGCTCTCGAGGTGAAGAACAAATATGGATTTGTTGATGGATCCATCACTAGGGCTGAGGAAACTGATCGGAGATTCTCTGTTTGGAGGAGGTGCAACAACATTGTTTGCTCGTGGATCCTCAAGTCTCTTAGCTCCACGATTGCAGAAGGAGTCTTGTACCTTGAAACTGCATCAGATGTGTGGAACACTCCGAAGAAGAGATATTCTCAGATAGATTCACACAGGATTGATGAACTTCAAAATGAGATCTATCGATGCTCACAAGGTAATCTCTCAATCAACGAGTATTTTACTAAAAGCAATCGTTTATGGATGCAAATGAATGCTATGAGGCCAATTCCTTCTTGTGAATGTGTTCCTAAGTGTACCTGCTCCCTAGTAAGCAAAATCCAAAAGGAAAAAGAAGAGGATCAAATCATTAGGTTTTTGGAAGGCCTAAATGAA